AATTGACTGATCAAATTCAGTACTTCAGCAAAGAAACTATATTGTCACATGCTTCAGATTATTCTTCCAATGTATCTTCAAGTCTTTTCTGAGATCACACCTTATAAACTCTTCTATTAAAATACTGATTGGCAAGACAGAGGTCTTAATTTTCATCTCTTCTGACTGCAAATAGATGTTTTACTTCAATTCTACTATAGAGCAATAAATGAAAAAGACCTTTTTAACTACTGACTTTTCTTTGCAAGCCTTTCTTACACTACCTTTTGACTACCCACTGACTAGAGTCACTGTTACCTTAGTTTTATATTTTTAGTAAGAGGATGACAGCTACTGAGACTTAGTTTTTTAATCACCCAGATCAGAATATTTTAATATGCTGCATTATGATTTAGTTCTAGTTAATTCTACATATTCTATAATTCTGCTTATTTAAAAGTGGGGTTTTGTTTAAACTTTTACCAAAACATACAACAAGTCAACTGTAATATTACCTCACTACCTCCACTGAAGAGAGGTTCATTGCAAGTTTGAGCCTGAATAGGTTCTACTTCTGCCTGTACTGTAAAAACTATCTTTAGTCCCTGCAGGTTACAAAAAACAAATATACCTCAGCTTTTCCACAACTAACAAAGTATTGTTGAAAAAAAACTTGTCACAAAATTCTTGGAACCTAATATTTTTCATATGCTTGATAATTATGCTTAAGCTAATAGAGTGCAAGGGTAATATGTGGGTTGTACCAAGTGTTCTGTCGGCTAAATTGAATCCAGACAAAGAAAATAACAAAGAACAGCACACACACAATATGCTCTTCCCATATATACAAAATGGGAAGCTCCTTGCTAAACTAGCTGCAGCTTCTGGTTAGCTTTAACTAGCAATAAAACATGTAGCATGAATGTAACAGCTCAAAACAATTGATTTGCTCAGTTAATTTACTCAATCTCTATGGACACAGAGATACAGAAAGAAATGGCAGGCAGCACAAGAGTGAGAAAGGTAGCAAATAGAAGGCTTTAAATAGCTTCCTCTCTTTCAGTAATGTTCACTTAAGCTTTCATATTAGCTCAAGCTTCAGCCAGCTGTTCTTATGTTTATTTCCTGCTAGTCCCTCATCATTTATGAGATATATTAGATAAAAAACATTGACAAGCTATAAAGTCAGATACAACCAGTATACTTGCTGTAATAAAACCAGACTACTGAATGATATCCCCTCTAAGAGGACTTTGAACCATACAGCATTTTGGACTCTTCAGAAACAGGTATCATTATAGCTCCTGGTTTTCTTAAAACAAACCACCAAATTTGAATCAAACCTATGCAACTCAGGCTCTCATGTCAATTAACTCCACTTTTGACCAAAAGAACAGGGATGTAATGAAACAAAATTTATCTTCTGATACACAGAATACTAGAGTGTACCTATGTAGTTAGAACCGTGTTATGTTTTAACATTTATTTTAAATTTCCTATCTTTGCACAGCAAAAGGATACAGTATTTCAAGTTTTCACCTCTTCTACCTCCACAGAACTCTGGTAACTCTCTATCCTGAGCTTACATACTTAATACACCTACCAAAATATGTTGTCCTCTTACCAGATATGCTAATACACCTTCGGCCTGTCCATTCTACTGCCCTCACAGCTGAGAAATTTCATAAATTGTCAGCAACCTTGTAAGTGCTCTCAGTCCATTTCAGTGCAAAGTTAAACAGAAGAACTTAAAGAAGCTTCAGTGGTATTTTAAAATTAAGCTTTTATCTTGCACCAAAACAGATACAAAGCACTGACAGAATATCACAGCCCAGCTTAAATAGTATTTTATCAGCTGACTGACAGCACAGGTTAGCTTCCAGCTCTAGGTGACTGAGCAGCTGGAGTAACTTCTTTTTCAAAAGATGCTAGGTTATTTTACACCATTACTGGCAATCTTTTACTCAGCATGGCCTAGAAATAAACACAAAATATGTTCTTTAAATACTGGTCTAAGGCATTAAAAAGCTAAAACAATCTTAACCAAGTAGCTCAAGCATGGCAGAAACAATATTAGAGAAATGTTTTAATTTTTTGCTGGTCATGCTGTGTTAAAATCAGTTGCTCACCAAAAGAATTTGCAGTTTGGAAATGTCTGAAGGCAGTACAGGAAAACATTTGTAAGTTATCCTGCAGTTATCAGATACTGAAAGAGAAGTTTCATAGCTGAGGGGTTAACCTTGGTTGGCTGCCAGACACCCAGCCAGCCACACTCTCAATCCCTCTCCTCAACAAGACATGTGGAAAAAATAAGGTGAAGAAAAGCTCATGAGTGCAGATAAGAACAGGGACATCGCTCACCCATCACTATCATGGGCAAAACAGTCCCAACTTGGGCAAAATTTATTTAATTAATTGATAATTAGAGTAGGATAGTGAGAAACAAAGAAAAAGCTGAAAACACCTTTCTACCCACCCTCCCCTTCTTTTCAGGTTCAGCTTCACTCCTTTATTCTCCACCCTTCTACCTCCTCTCTCTAGAGCAGCTCAGGTGGAATGGGAATTGCTGTCAGTTTGTAACACTGAGCCGCTTCTTCCTCAGTTTTCCCCTGCTCCAGCACGGGTCCTTCCGATGAGCTACAGTTGTTCAAGCACTGCTCCAGCATGGGTCCTTTCCCATGGAGTTCAGCTCTTCAGGAATGGACTGCTCCAGCATGAGTCCCCCACAGGCTGAACTTCCTGCCAGAAAACCTGCTCCTCTCCATAGGCTGCAGCTCCTGCCAGGAGCTGATTCCAGAGTCTGCTCTCCACAGGCTGCAGCTTCCTTAGGGCACATCCACCTGCTCCAGTGTGGAGTCCTATATAGCCTGCAGGATGGATATCCTCTCCACTGTAATCCTCCAGTGGGCTGCAGGTGCACAGCCTGCCTTACCATGGTCTTTTCCAGACTCTGCAGTCTATATTATGCAGAATATTAGAACAAATTATCTCCTCCTAGTGTTGCCTTCTAAACACACAAATACTGTTCCTTTCTTACTCTTTAACACTGCACTACTTCAGTCATGTCAACACTTGCCTTGTTTCTTCATCTTTTGTTAAAGACAGCAGAGCCTTGGTGCTATGAGGAGGAACCAAGACGCAATACCAGCATACAAACCCTGAACTCCAACCAAATATGGAGCTCCAAAAAATGTGTTTTATTAGTGAGGCCATTTATCACAAGATTGAAGTCAGTTAGTACTCTCTAACACAAAACTACAGGCAAACTTCATGTTTGACAAAGTCATAGGCACTGCAGCAAGAAAACTGAACTCAGTGGGATCTTCACAGTATGAAATTTTGTAAATTACAAATTTGACATGGAGATAATGCACTTAAAAAAATTATCACAGTCAGGAAGGTTCATTGATCTTCTCTTTAGTAGTAGTCTCTATTTTCAAGAAGTTAAGATTTCTTTCAACTAATGCCTCTCTATAACACAATGGAAACTACACCTTAACAGTTCTTCCTCACACTCAACCTTCCCCAGAAAGACTATTGCAAGCTGAAGGCAGAAAGGAATACAAGGTATGAGCTTTTAGAACAAACAATAGGATATCAAACTAGACAAGAGAGTCAGGGAGAAAGAGCCTCTCTCAAAAATATTAGGATCCTAGATTGCATCCCATGTCCAGTAAATCTAAACAACAAAACATTCGTGGCTAACTGCCTGTAAATTAAGTGATGTCAGTGTGATCCTTTAGTGTACACCTGTCTTTATTACAAGCATGTTTTACTCACAGTTTGAGGGTTGATATCATCTTCTCCCATAGGTTCATCCACAATTTGCTGTCCATTCTGGAAAAAACAAGACACAGCAAGTTACAAGCAGTGCTGAATACAAGTACAGTAATAAATATACTGCAGATGTGCTTTCATAGCATGCTGCTGTACAGGACCAAGTGCTTTCTTTTTAATACTGTCTAAAACCAGGCAATTGAAAGTAGACATGAAAAACTGCATATTGCTGGCATACAATACCACTCTTGCCTTGATCCTCAAGAATTATCAAACTCGATGAAGTCACAGTAAGAAATATATAAAACAAGCTAGCATTTGAAGCCTCACTACTACATAGCTGGACATTACTTTCCATGACTACAACTTCTGCAAACCAGTTAAACCTGATAAAGACTGAAGAGTAAAAAGCCACAGCAAAAAAATAAACAGGTTCTTTCTAAGAGTGAGACCTCAGCAAGACAGTCTTTACCTTCAAGAAAATTGATAACTATAGTATAGCCTTAGAAAAATATGAATGCAATGCTAGTTTTATTAGCCAGCATTTACTATTTTCTGTACTTTACTAAGGACCATTCTAACTAGGCATACAGAAATAGGTTTTTGAATTTCAAATTTAGCCACAAAGTTTTAAAAAGTCTTAAATACCCTGTTGGCCAACAAGTGCTTTCTTTTTCTTGACAGTGATAACATACTCGGAGAATCTCTCAGAGGTATTTTCCCCTGGAAGACTTTGCATTCCCTCAAATGACTTTGCTTACACAACAAACAGGAGCATTAGCAAGTTGTAAGCAAAAGGGACTATTTCATAAGTTATGGTATGGGATATCACCTGGGACATTAAGTCTTAGTTTGCTCCAAGAGTTCAACAGCAATTCAGTAGGATTTTAGAGACAAATGAAAAACTGTTACAAATGGTAACCTTTTCCATTACCACTGGAGGCAGAATTTAAGTTTATTTGTGCATTAGAGAACACAAAGTCTAATTAATCTATTTTTTCAAAACTTCATTAATTTAAGAGTTACATTCATGTATAGATAGATATTTTCTAGACACTAGAAAGTTAACAAAAGCTGCTCAGAGATTCAGAGATCTTAGCTTCATTCTACACCTTCCTTCCCACTGCTAAGTTTTTCAGTAGACTTCTTGTTTGGAATCTTCCTAGCATTCTTCTGTAATGACTTCT